TAATCCCTTCGCCTCGCCCCAACCTCTTACCCTTGCTAACCACTATTCCCTTCTCGGTGTGTATGAGCCTATTGCTATTTTGTTCCTTCTGTTTTGCTTTGTTTTTATACTCCACAGATGAGTGAAATGATTTGGTATTTGTCTTTCTCCACCTGGCTTATTTAACTGAGCATAATACCCTGTAGCTCCATTCATGTCGTTGCAAATGGTAGGATTTTTCTTCTTATGGCTGAATAAAAATCCATTGTGTATGTGCCACATATTCCTTATCCATTCATCTTTTGATGGACACTTAGGTTGCTTCCATATCTTGGCTATGGCAAATAGTATGGCAAAAAACATAGGGGTGCATATCTCCTTTTGAATCCAGGATCTTTTTTTCTTCGGGTAAATTCCTAGAAGTGGAATTCCTGGGTCAAATGGTTTTTCTATTTTTAGTTTTTTAAGGAACCTCCAAACTGCTTTCCAGTGGTTGTACCCATTTGCATTCCCACCAACAGTGTAGGAGGGTTCCCCTTTCTCTGCATCCTCACCAGCATTTGCTGTTCCTTGTCTTTTAGATAGTAGCCATTCTAACTGGTGTGAGGTGGTATCTCATTGTGGTTTTAATTTACCATTTCCCTGATGATTAGCGATGTGGAGCATCTTTTCATGTGACTGTTTGCCATTTGAATTTCTTTGGAGAACTGTCTGTTCATATCCTCTCTAGTTTTCGTAATTGAGTTACTTGTTTTTTGGGTGTTGGGGGCGTATAATTTCTTTTTGGATGTTAATCCCTTATTGGGTAATTGCTTACAAGTATATTCTCCCATACTATAGGATGCCTTTTTGTTCTGCTGATGGTACCCTTTGCTGTACAGAAGTCTTTTAGTTTGATGTAGTCCCATTTGTTCATTTTTTATTTTGTTTCCCTTGACTGAGGAGATGTGTTCAGGAAAAAGTTGCTCATGACTGTATCTAAGAGATTTTTGCCTAAGTTTTCTCCTGAGAGTTTTATGGTTTCATGACTTACATTCAGGTCTTTTTGATCCAGAAGAGAATAAGCCTTTGATGTCTTTCACTTCCTCCTATGACTCAGGGCTCCCTGGTGGGAAAATGAAAGTATGTTAAGAATGAATTTTCTCTGGAAAGTTGAGATCAGCCTTCAAAAGTCGTGCCTTTTTGCTAGTGCCCTGTTAGCTTTGGTTTCTTGGATTTGCCTGCAAACTTTTTGTAGAACTGTTTCAATTATGAAAGTTACCAGTTGGAAAGAGTTACCTAGTCCCCCAAACACAGTGGTTGGGAAAGGATAGGCAATGATTGCCTTGGGATAGAGGGACACGACCCAGCCAGAGAACTGTGACAGACTTGCTGTACAGCTTCTAAACTGAGCTGTTGCTTTCTCTCAGGGCCTCTTACTCTTTTTTTCAAATGCACAGTAGGTTTCAGAGATATGACAAATGAGAAAAAAGGAATTTTCGTTTAGTACTTAGCTAAGAGAACAGGTCTATTGGAAAGTTTATGTGTCTTTAAGAGTTGGAGTTATATTTTTATCATAACTGTAAGTACAGGTATGTCTGCAAGTATCCTGAGGTGAGAAAAATGCATTAAGTTGTTTAAGTTAAAGGTCAAGCAGTATGCTGTTGAGTCAATAAATAATGCCGAAAAAGCAATCCCATAGTACTGTTTTTTTATTCCAGTAACTTTTGCCTTTTTTTTTTTAATGGGTTTTACTCCCCCACCCCCAGCTTTACGGAGATATGATTTACAAGTTAAAGTTGTATGTATGTACACTGTATACCTATTTCTTTAAGGAGAGAAGCAAACCCCTCTCCGTTCTTAATCTTCTAGATAAAATCAAATTATTTTATTTAAAATAATTTAAGGCACTAAGTTAAGACCAGGAGTTTTCTGTTCTTTGGTGTTCACTATTTCTAATTTGTATAGATTAAGATAGGATACTGATTTATGTCTCATCCCTTAAGTCAAAAATAAACAACATTTTTATTTTTTCCTATTAGGAAAGTCATATGTGTTTACTACTTAGAGTCATAAAATAAGACAAGTCAAAATAGAACACACTGCTTTCTCTTACCCCCATCCCTGTTCCATCTCCCAGAGATGATATAGATTTGATTTTAAACCTTGGTTTATATTGTTCTCCATGCATGGGTGTATTTTTTCCAAAAGTGAGATCATCCCACAACTGCTATTAACTTTTGTAGTTTGCTTTTTTCACTTATTTTACATGGATATTTTCCCATGTTACCAATAACATTTTGTGTCATTTTTAGTGGTTTATAGACAAAATGTGTGATTGCTTCATACTTTATTTAGCCTTTCCCTTATTGTAGGACTGTAAAGTTGTTCTGCTCTTTTTCCCGGTAATGGTATAAGGAGGATCCTTGTAGTCAAATCCTTGATTTCTAGTTGAGGTGAACATTTTTTAAATCCTTTTTTATTAACGATATTAACCCTTCCTTTTTTTAGCAGTTATTTTCCCAATTTGTTTTCCTTTGGATTTCATTTAACTTCTTAATGCACAGATGTTTACATTTCTTTATGTAGGGAGTTTTCAGCTTTTTTCTCAATGGTGTCTCCAGTGGCACACCCTAGAAAGTAGTCTTTTTCACTTTGAAGTTAGGGTCACCTTTATTTTCCACTTTTATGGCAGTGATTTTTTTTTTTTACATTTAAAGAGGTTTTTGATAATTAAAATAGAAATAATTTTGCTAAAAGATATGAATGTGGGGATCAAACCCAAAACAAATCATTCTTTTCTTACTGTTATGAAATATCTTAATCATATACTAAATTTTGTATGTTTGTATATGTTTCTTTGTTTTTTGGGCTTTTCATATCTCCAATGTTGATTTTCCTCCTCTGCCATCCTGCTTTAATGGTAATTTTTTAAAAAATCCAAAGCAATATGATTTTTATAACAGTTTGTTCAAAAATTATTAGCCCAGACTTAAAATGTTTTTTAAATGCATCATGGGAAATGGTTTTTTGTTTGTATTTTTTATAATAATGATACTAAGGGCTCTCTAAATGTTAGCTTTATATCAGGCCCTGTGCTAAGCACTTATTTGCATTATTTAACTTGTGAAAATTTAAACCTTACAGAAGCCTATATTCTACATACTTTATAATTCATCATAACTTCTATATTTAATTTTCCTGTTTTGCTGTTGTAATAACAGCACAGGAATTACTTGCTGAAAATGAATTAAGTAGAATCCAAAAATGGCGAATATAGAAAAGGTGGCAGAATCATTTCATGATGCAACAGAATCGTCCTAATATAACTTTGTGTAAATAGCCTCAGATGCAATTTTGTTTTCATGAAATGGCTTGGAGTGGTTTAAGTTATTATGGTATCAGTGACTGTAATGGCGTATGTGGTGGGGACTTGATAATGGGGGGAGTATAATAACCATAACATTGCTCATGTAATTGTACATTAATGATACAAAAAAAAGTTATTGTACCTTTAAAAGATTTTATTACAGAAATTTCAGGCATACAGTAAAGTAAAATTGATTAATCAGTTCTCATGTACTCATCATGCATCTGAACAAATATGTCTTCTCCCTCCCCCTCCCTGTATAGGGGAGTGGGGTGCTATTGTATTTTAATGCATATGCAAGATATGATCTTAATAGAGTAGTCCAATGTGTATATGTAATAGATAAAGTCCTTTAAAAGGTATTGTCACAATACCTTACCCATACCCAACAACTAACAATAATTCTTAATCTCATTGAATACGCAGTCCATTTTCAGTTTCCCTGATTGTCTTTTGTTGTTGGCTTGTTCAAATCAAAATCTAAATAATATCCACACATTGTATTTGGTTATTATATTTCTTAAGTCTTTACTTACTTGGTGCCATTTATTGAAGGAACCAAGTCATTAGGCTTGTACAATTTCCCAGTCTGTATTTGGCTGGTTTTATTTTAGTGATGTCATTTATCTCATTTCTCCATCCCCTTTGGATAATTAAATCTAGAGGCTTGGTAGTACTCATGTTTACTGTTTTTAACAACCATGCCTCTTAGGTGATGCTGTGTTGCTTTCACAGCATCTTATATGGAGGCATGTAATGGAGTGATCCATCATAGTACATTGTTATGTATGATAAATCAGTCATTGGTTTGTTTAGGATCTTTCTTCTGCAACTTTTCTCCTTTTAAAAACTGACCTACAGTTTTATTTATTTATTTATTTATTTTATTTAGGTATCATTGATATACACTCTTATGAAGGTTTCACATGAAAAACATTGTGGTTACTACATTCACCCATAGTATTATGTCCCCTCCATACCCTATTGAAGTCACTGTCCGTCAGTGTAATAAAGATGCCACAGTCACTACTTGTATGACTTACAGTTTAAATAGATTAATTTTGTTATTTGTGTTCTCCAAAATTCCCCTCAGTAATAAAAGATTAGTAGATTAAATTCCATTTTATAGACGTGCTAGAGGCTGTGGAAATTGCAATTTAGGGCCATAGACTTTCAGTTATATAGTTCAAAAGATGGAAAATTTTCCTTAGAGCTTTTTGATTCAGATAACTTTGAATATATAATGAAAGTTGTGGACTCTCCCCTGGAGAATATGCTTATATATACATTTATTTCTATTTAAAGACACCTTCAGGCTGTCTGCACTCATCCGTGAACTCCAGATAAAGACCTCTGACCTCATTCTTTCCTTATTCTTTACTCCTACCTTAACTTATACTTTCCTTTAATTTCTATTCTTCTGGCTATCCAAGATGATTATTTTCATTTAAACTAATTCATATGTTAGTATACTTTGTAATGAATAAAATTTGGGGTATATCTAGAACTTCTGTGTCTCGCCATCAGTTAGCCCAGCCTTGAGTGTAGGTTGGTCAGATTAAGTGCCTGGTCTTTTAGTCTAGTTTGTTTGATGCACCTGTTTGTTTTAATGCTGAGGTTGCATTATTGGAAAAATTATCTGACTACTAATTTAATATGTTCCTCTTTGCAGCAGTCTGCAGAGCGCTGTGTGAGCACATTGCTTGATCTCATCCAGACCAAAGTAAATTATGTGGTCCAAGAGGCAATTGTTGTCATCAGGGACATTTTTCGCAAATACCCCAACAAGTATGTTGAAATACTTCTGTCCCGCTTTCTCAGATAATTTAGGAAAATTTTTAAGTAAGACACTTTGAAATTATCTAGGTAAGAATTATTCTTACATCATGTAACTGGTCATAATAGGATACCTTATTAAATATTGCCTATAAAGTGATTGGCACAGGATTAAAACCTGATTTTTCAGTAATAAAAATTCTTCATTACTTTTAGAAGAATTGAAACTCTGTCTTAACATGTACTGTTGGTTAGCATATATTGAAAACCAGATTCTTTGGTAGTGAAGTTACTATTAATATTAAGATACTCATATAGTCTAGGTTGTCTGGGTATAATTACCAGACATAATAATGATTATGCCTTTTCATTCTCAGAAATGTCTCAGTTTGGATGATAAATTATACAACCATTGTGCTGTAAAAGCCAGGAAGGTGACTACTGCCCTGGTCACTTTACATGTTGCCTAGTACTTTGTAGAAATTATAGGACATGTAACAATAGATTTTCAGTCTCAAGCCTTTTCTGAAGTATTATAGCTATTCCCATAAAGCTGTGCAAAAATCTACATTTTCACTCCACAGAATTTTTACATTGAGGTCTCTTAGTTTATGAAGTGAAAATACTATTTTAGTTTTTATTTTGAAAGAAAGTAATTAGGAATCTAAGAGAGTGGAATAAGAGCAGGTCTTGAAAACATCCTAAATTTCATTTTGCCTTATAGTCTTAGAGAGATCTTGTGCTTGAAGCCTCTTTTTAGTCCTTAAAGACAGTGTTAAATGAAGGAACTTGCATTAGGTTAGCTTATGGTAGACTCGTAATTAGGAACAATATTACAGCAAGGTAGTGGTATATTAAGCATTATATATATACATATATGTGTATGTATATCTGTATATAAATGTATATATATTTTTGGGAAAGGGGCCATGTATTTTTATCACTCTTCTAGAAAAGAGGCGGGTTGGCATCTAAACTTGGTGATTAAGGTAGAGATGTATATCTCAATATGATTGGTAGAGAAATGTGTCTACTTTGGTTTATGATTAGTATGTTATGACAGTTTCAGAAGAGCTACCAAGAACCTGGTTTAATCAGTGGAGGGAGGGCAAACAGTTAAATGAACTATTCAGTTTTCTACTTCTAATTTATTATACAGTGTCATTCGATGTTTTAAGTCAAATTAGCAAGGAGACAGATTCAACATGGTATAAGAGAGCTGTAGATCTGTAAAATTAAAATAAATGTTTGAATTGTTTCTTTGGAGAAACATGTCATTAGTGGGGGTACCTTGGGAGGAAAGAACATAAGTATGTCTATAAAAAGCAGAACTAGGTGGATTAAGGGACAAAATTACTATTTGTAGTGTGGATCCTGCTGTCTAACTTTATTTTCCTAAAAGTAAAGTGGGGTTTCTGTTCCTGTACATGAAGGCAAAATGGAATATAGACAGGAATCTTCTTCAATCTAGTTATAAGAAAGATTGTTAGAAATATAAGTGGTATCATGTGACATCACAGGTTAATTTTTCCTTTGAAAATAATATATGATGAGCTTTCTATAATATTTTATAGTTTATTATTAAAACATAATTGAAGGGAAATTTAGGACATTTATTATCTTCTGGCCTAAAGTCTTTATATTCTTTTGACTGTGAAAGCTTTTATAGTTTGATGGTTTGGTTTAGGGAACCTTGTCTGTGGTTTCGCCTTTAACTCATTGTTAAGTACAGTTCACAGTTTTGCCCTCAGTAACCATAGTCCATTTTGTTTTATCAGGTATGAAAGTATCATCGCCACTCTGTGTGAGAACTTAGACTCACTGGATGAGCCAGATGCTCGAGCAGCAATGATTTGGATTGTGGGAGAATATGCTGAAAGAATTGACAATGCAGATGAGTTACTAGAGAGCTTCCTGGAGGGTTTTCATGATGAAAGCACCCAGGTGAGTGATCTGTATCCTGTGTCCTAGATCTTTTGGGGAAGATTTCAGGGAAAGTAAAGGTTAGGTAGTTTTGTATGTGTGTGCATGCGTGTGAATTTATATGTATATATAGTATACATATATATGTATGAATACACACATGTACATAAACTCTATAGACAGAGAAAGAGAATGTTCATTTATGTATATGTGTGTGTGTGTATATGTATAGTATGTTCATTTTTTTGCCGAAAGGGATGACCTTTTTCAGTTGTGCTGATTTCTGGTGGAACAAATCTGCCTAACTTAGACCATGGTTCCCAAACTTTAATGAACCACAGAAACACCTAGAAAAAAAACCCACCTAGAATGCTTCCTAAAGCACAGGTTGGTGGGCCTCACTCCTGCAGTTTATGACTTAGTATGTCTGAGATGGGCCTAAGCATTTTCATTTCTTAACAAAGGTTCGGGGTGCTGCCGCTGGTCAAACCACACAACTTTGGCTTAGAGCAGTAGGGCTTAACAGGTAACTACCACCTGTTAAAATCCTGTCACCTGAAGATGCTTACCCATTCCTGGAAGTAGTCGTTATGGTGCATTACAGCAGGGGTTTCACCTGGGGCTTTGGTGAGGGCTGGCAAGTTTAGTTTGTACAGATTCTCTGGACGACCCATCTTCTATCTGTCCTTCACCAAAATTGAGAGACCTGACCTAAGAGCCACAAGCTCAGAGAAGCAGATAAATTATTTAACCCTTTCTCCTTGGCATTTGTACTCACTGCAAATTGAATTTCATGTATGTAGTTCACCACAGCAATTTTAATAGGCATTTATAAAGAACCACTTATAAGACAGTGCCTGCATGGTTCAGTAGCCCACTCTTAATTAGCTATGATCTGGCATACTTCTACTGTGTTGACTCATGCCCCAATACAAAACAGGTGATTATTCCCCCAAAGTTGTTGTTTTGTGGAAGTAAATAATAAATGACTTGCTTAGGAACCAGTTTCATTGCCATCAGGATGTTAGCATGTACTTTAAAGAAATACAGGTGATTATCTGGGCAGGAAATAAATAAGCAGTTTTTGACTCCAAGGATGCAATTGGGAATAGGAGGCATAACGAGCTTTTAGTTGTTGAATACCTATGGCCATTGTTGATGCTGACTGAATTTTAACCTTGTCTCAAGCAAAATCAGAAAGATCCCTTTGTAATTTATAGTTGGGGAAATGCCACCTTGGGAATGATAGTGTGAAATAATGCAAATGCGTTCATTTTTATCTATTGAATTATATCTGCTTAGGTGCAGCTCACTCTGCTTACTGCCATAGTGAAGTTGTTTCTCAAGAAACCATCAGAAACACAGGAGCTGGTACAACAGGTCTTGAGTTTGGCAACACAGGTAAGAATTCTGGAGAAAACATGAGGTTGATTTGTCTGGTTAAATTGTGGGAAATTATGAAGCTCTTCCCAAGAAGGTTCATTTGAGAAGGTTTTAATTAGAAGGATTGCAGTCTTTAGGTCCTGTTAAAATATAAAAACAGTGGCTCTTATACATATTCCAGTGAATTATAACTGATTATGTGGCTTTTAAATGAATTAGACTGACTCCACTTTTTATGATAATTCATGAGAATAGAGTTTCGACTCTTTAGTGTTAATAAAGGACATATTATGTAAAAATGACATTGAGTCTCACAGTACCTACTTCTGGGTGCTTTAATTTTAGCTTTCAAATGAAAATACCATTGTAGAGGCAGTAAGTGCCACGACAAAGATTTCACACATTGTCTGCCATGTGGAGTGCAAGGTGCTTATGTTGCTTTCAGGAATGTGGCTACTGGGCTTAGAGGTCAGGTCACCATTAGCGATCATCAATCCATCATGATTTAATGATGTTCTTCATTAAATTGGAGAGCAGGCTGGCTTTAGCAGGCTGTCAAATCTTCAGATGTGTCTACACATGGAATCTGGTTCAGATAGACAATATACCATTTTTCTCTTTAATTTCCACCTAAATTTGAAACCCTTTCACAGTATTTGCCTAGTTCTGAGCTGTCATCCCTATTATTAATTTTACATCTTTTACAATTTATTTGTAAGAATTCTTTGAAGTGATTTTTAAAATTGCCCTTCAAATATCTTCCCTTGCCTGAAGCAATTACCATAACTGTCAAGGCAATGGTTATTTAGTATTTTTTGTTTTGTTTTGTTATCATTAATCTACAGTTACATGAAGAACATTATGTTTACTGGGCTCTCCCCTACCCCAAGGCCCCCCCACAAACCCCATTACAGTTTCTGTCTATAAGCATAGTAAGACGTTGTAGAATCACTACTTATCTTGTCTGTGTTGCACAGCCCTCCCCTTTCCCGAACCCCCCACATTATACATGCTAATCCTAATATCCCCATTTTTCTTCCCCGCCCTTATCCCTCCCTTCCCACCCATCCTCCCCAGTCCCTTTCCCTTTGGTAACTGTTAGTCCATTCTTGGGTTCTGTGATTCTGCTGCTGCTTTGTTCCTTCAGTTTCTCCTTTGTTCTTATACTCCACAGATGAGAGAAATCATTTGGTATTTGTCTTTCTCCGCTTGGCTTATTTCACTGAGCATAATACCTTCTAGCTTCATCCATGTTGTTGCAAATGGTAGGGTTTGTTTTCTTCTTATGGCTGAATAATATTCCATTGTGTATATGTACCACATCTTATTTATCCATTCATCTATTGATGGACACTTAGGTTGCTTCCATTTCTTGGCTATTGTAAATAG